AGTCGTTCCGGTTGCTCCTAAGTGACCCTTCCTATGCACAGCGATTCACCATATCATTAGGACACAGCCGTGAATTGATGAGGTACCTATATACCATCTCCTCTGCTGCGCTGTGCACTGCAAAACCTGCTAATTGAGTGCCTGGTTCAGAGCATAGGTTAAGTTTCAGCTTGAAGACAACAAGGGAACTTGCTTGTCCCAAGTCTGTCAGTGGCAATAGCAACAACTCAGTCTCTCACAAAATCATCAAGCCAGCAAGTCAGAGTTAGTCAGCTTCCCAGCCCTTCTTTGATGTCATGGAGGGTGGGATTCCTCTCAGGTAGTTGTAGTCCCATCCATCGGGGCCCGAGTGCGCGATTGATTCGCTGGCATCTCTTGGTTGGGTTGGGGTCACTCACTTCACTTATTCGTTCATCCAAATGCCTTGCCCACTTTTGCCCTTTGAAGTATCCAGCTTATGACAGGTGATGATGAAGTCACTGCTTCAATAGTATCCGCCTGGGCTAATTACCTAACCTAAGGAAGGTACACTAGATACATTTTTAATTGTACTGCTGTCCACAGGATGGCCATCACCAGATGGAGAGTCACATATTTTGTCATACAATTTGTTACCTGCCCCCTTCTGTAAAGGGTACCAAGATGGGGTAGCCTAGACAGATAACAGATTTACCTCCCTATCGTGGGTCAGTGCCTCTCGGCTCTTCAAGGCCGCAGGGCTATCGAGTCAAACATCGGCTGGATAAATCAGAAAATTTGGAATCGTGGCTTATACTGATACTTTATACCTACTTGCAACTCGAGTGGGAATGCCAAACCCTAGAGACTGCAGCAGGATGCGATGATGGGATGATGAGTTGCTACCTACCTAACCGCAGCACGCCACATTAGAACGTAAGAGGCCATTTGCATCTATCTGCTTGCCCACTTACATACACCCATAAATTATAATCAAGAGTGTGTGCTGTACGTTAGACAAATAGGTAATTACTTCTCTCTGCCACGCCACAACCTCGACCTCAAGGCAAAAATAAAAAGACAGGTCCGAAGTATATAATGGAAGGTAATGGCTCAACTCACAAGGCGCAGGCTGGCTGGGCTGGAACTCCCAGTTTTCAAATGGTACGGGAAAGAAAACGCCCCGTAAGGGAATTCCGGAGACCGCCTGCGATCTAGAAACCTAGCACCACGTTAGGTACCTCCTACAATCGTCACACCGGGTCGTTGGCAACAAGAGACGGCGCCGAGAATTTCCAGCCTGGAACGGGAAAACCTACCTACTTGTTCTCATCCTCGGTTACCTCTATGTCTACTGCCCCGGAGACAGACAGAGCAAACGTAATAAGTGACTACCCAGGAGTACGGTTTGGGAGACAGACAGGCAGACAGACAGACAGGTAAACTAATCCCAATGTACCCCGCCGCTTCTAGTCCAATTGATCGAAGCCACCCGCCCACTTTGCGCGGCCGCCGTGAAGGCAGCCCGTCCGTCCCATCCCATGCATGGCATATGGGTACATACATGCATGCAGTGAGCCAAGTGCGGCGCACAGCCTAGTGTACGGGCTACTTATCTCGATATCAGAGGAAGTATAGTGCGTACATCCACTAGACTTCGTTTACATCGGCTTTTTACGACGGGAAATCCTAGAGTCAGTCACTTTCCACCAAACGATGTCGTCGAAGTAGCAGACTCGGGGTGGTGGACTCGGTGAATGCATACTTCTATCTACCTACCTTATCTTACATATAATACATAATATGTATACAAGATATATTCTCTCCACATTCAAATATTCCGTAGGGACTTCAAGCGAGGAGAGATAGAAGGTCTGATAGGGATACCTAGATCATCCCATGCCATGCCACTGGATAGGTATCAGATCGGGGTTAGATAACGAACGTAACCTACATACGTACACTACACTACCCCGCGACGGGACGAAAAACTTATCCGAAATGCCCGGTGGTCAGACAAACACTTAAAAAGCCGGTCAGGCTAGAAAGAATGAAAAGAAGAGGAAATAAAAGCGTGAGGGTGATAGGAGGCATGTTATGTTACCTAGGCAACTTTACTTGACTTACCTACCTACACAAATGTGCAAACATATTCCCCGCGCCTGCAACCATCCATCCATCCCCTCAACTCCCCTCTCCCCCAACGGAATGTATATAGGTTGATAGAAATAGATACATGTACATACACACAGTCCGCCGTGCCCTTCGACGCCACGGACGGGACGAAGGACGAAGGACGAAGGGCATCCGGCCAGACCGACGCATCTACCCGGTCTGTCAGTAAGTAGTAAGTAGAGAGAGGTGGCGAGGCAGAAAACGAAACAAACAGACAGTTAATCAATTAATGAAAAGATCATGAAATAAGTGCTTTGTCCTGTGTTAATATCGACACGGACTGCACCGCTCTAACTTAGATATCATACTATATATATATATACCAACCTGCTTACTTGATCATCCAGTAAGCCACGTCACTCTACCACGTCGACAGAGTCGAACAGCTCAGTAGGTCAGTAAGTAGGTCTTATGCTAAGCGGCGAAACGACGAGTATAAATAGACACGAAGATGATGTGAGGAACAACTACATATATGTATATATTTATATAAAGCAAACGAGAACGACCTAGGTATGAGTCCATGAGTGAATAAATGAGGTCTCCAATTCCAGAACTGAAATCCTTCCGTCGATAGTCACTGAATCGATTGTATGCATTTACCATGTCTCTATGGTCTAGCTGTTACGTCTTATCCCATTCGTTCGTTTGCTCGTTCATTCCCTCGCTCGCTTGCCTCCCGCCCTAGCAGAGTGAGGGAAGGCAAAGCATCAATCAGCGCTTTCTACCAGATACTTCCCGGACACTTCCAGCCTCGTCTTTTTATAAGGAGGGCGGGGTGGTTAGTATAGTATAAAAGGTTGTCAACGCGTGAGGCGAGCAAAGAGCATCCCGATATCCTCCTCCCGCTAAGGACGGGGCGTGCCGTACCTTACCGTAACTCCGATGTCTGTAGAGCGTCCGTAGGCCGGGTGAGCAAACAGAAGCTCGCCCTAACTCTATCTCTCGTCCGTGTATATAGGTATTCTCTTATCTCTGTGCCTCTTCACGATCTTCATGACAAACACGCTGTCTTTCTCTCTTCTAAGACTTGAATATCAGATCCCGCGATTAAACACGACCAAACCACCCTCTCCGCCGCGCCCATGAAACTCCTCTTCAAGGCTCTCGGCGCTGATCCTCTGGCGCTGCGGGAACGCGGCGAGAGCAAGCGGCAGCGCAATGTAGCTCATGCCCAAGATCAGTCCCAGGTTCACGGGGAGCGTCAGGCGCGGGTTATTCCGCAGCCACTGCGTGCGCTGCAGGCGGACGAGGATCAGGGGCGGCACGACCATGATGGGGCTGCTGTTGAGCACGCGGCTCAGCGCCGTCTCGCCGACGGCCAGGGTGGCGGCCTTGCGGCTCTTGCCCAGCGAGGCCACGTCGCCCTCGGCGCGGCCCTCGGCGGCGAGCTTCTCCTTGTCCGACGTCGACAGGACGGGGTACACGTCGATGCCGACGCGCATCTCCTCGCCGCGCATGAGGAACACGTTGAGGAAGCCGGCGGACGCGACGGCGGCGAAGGGCACGAGGCGGCCGAGGACGAGCTTCGTGGAGGGCGACACGCGCTTCAGGCGTGGCACGAGCGAGTTGAGTCCGACGGCTACGGAGCACGAGGCGCCCACGGCGAGGAGGTAGGACTGCGCGAGCTTCGAGTAGGAGAGCGGGGTGGACTTGTTCGCGTTCGCGTTGTTGATGGCGACGTTGAGGGACTGGTTGGCCACCTGCCAGAGGACGGTGCCGACGTTCTGTGTCCGTGGACAAGGTTTATTAGCTTTTTCCTCCTCTTGGCTCTTTCAAGCTCCTGTCGTGTCGCATTCGCAGAGCAGGGCGATAGTAGGGACTTCAGAAGAGAACGACATGCGATGCCAGGAATGGAGGGGGAGCGCGTACCGTGAGACCTGGCGTCAGCATTCCTGCTGTGACGACCAGGTTTGAGAGGGCAAAGCATGACATGCGGAAGGGCAAGAAGACGGGCTCGCCGGTATCTAGACGACCACATGGCATCGCACGCCGTTAGCCGAAGTTCATTAACGCGCACAGGCGCACAACGAGATGGTCTATCGTGTCGCCATACGTACCAGGGTGTATCGTCGAGTCGACAATCTTCTTCGCCCTCCACAGCTCGGGAGTCATCTCCCTGATCTCGCCCTGCTTGTAGGCCATGATCAGGCTCTTCGCACTTTCGAGACCGCCCTTGCCCGCGAGCAGCGTCCTTTTCGGCCACACGGCCACCCATGTCAGCCGGTCTGATCGACGACAGATAGGTCCATGGTACTCACCTCGGATCGGTGATGCTGGCCGTATGGCGCACGCGACCCCAATATGTACTCAGGTCGTACTGCGACTCGGGCAGCTCCCGGTTGCCAGGTATCGAGGCCGACATGGCTGAGATGGCGTCGAGACCGCCGTCGCCAAGCACTCACTCACTCACTCCCACTCGCTGCTGCAGGTCGATTAGGCACTTTGCTTCTATGCCGATACAGTCGAATTCGCCGAGGGGTGATACGATGCTCTCGTCATTGGTGGTCAAAGGTGAAAGGTGTATGTATGTATGTATGTGTTTTGTTTGGAGCTGGTCGAGGCCGAGGTCGGCATACGAGTTGAATAGTACCCCACTAGATTGCCTACAATAGCCGCCGTTCATCTCGATTCAGGTCTATCTCGGTATGAATACTTCGTTACCTACATGGACTTAGTTATCTTGTCTGAATTTGCACAAGGTAAAAGTGAACGAAATACAAGTCATGATACTTACCACACTATTACAACTTGAGTAGAAATGCTTACTGCTGCATCGCATACTTACGATCAAATGATAAAAAATACATGAGACAATTGCATAGCTCGACATTTGCAACTGATATTAATAAAAATATTCTATTATGCGACTTCGGCCGGACTCGAACCGACAATCTCTAGAGAATCAATATCTATTGAACCGAAATCTAGCGCCCTAGCCATTAGGCCACGAAGCCATGCTGATGTATTTCTTGAAAGCTTCCGTCGATCCAAGGAATCACATATCGTTGAGCACGAAGGGGCATGCGATCCAAAGTCCATGTATACACGTGCCCGCCAGTCCTCCGTTAAACGGCTTGAACCTTGTTTTCTTCTCTAGTTGTTCTTTTTCGAAGGTCTTAAAAATTAGTTCCTATGCCGTCAACGTCAACCGCCTCCTCCTCATCCTCCTAGGGCTTCGGTCTTTGAAAATCCATATCAGTCCGCCGCCGGTTTTCTCTAATGATCGGCCATTTCTTGCGCATTTCCATCCGTTTAAAAGCGCGGCGCTGCGTTCAGCATAATTAGGAATAAATCGCAGCGACAAGCCGCCAGTTCATCTTACCCTGCCTTCTCGTACCTCGTTCAAGGACGACTTGCCATCGGGAGGCTGTAGAGTTTAAATGAGTACCGTAGCTAGAAGCTAGGGCCTAGTCCACTGGACATTAACTATATGAATTCACCATTTAAATGCTAGCTTTTGAATGCATGCGCTCGAAAGCCTCAACCAAAATAATTGTGGCTCTACCCACCTCAAAAGGTCGAAAGGTCGTTAGGCAGCTAGAATCCATGTAATTGTAGGGCCTTGCAAAGGGGACGCTTGTTGAAACGAGCAGCTTTTGATTAGCGTTTATCGTATAGCAAAACGAGTAGGACACAGCGGGAGAAAATTAGGGAAAAAGAAGAAAAAAAGAACAAAGAAAAAGGGGGGGGGGGGTTACAGTGGAATGCCCGGCAGCCACATCCAGGATTCATCCCTCATATATATCGCGTGGCGTACACTCCGGCTAGAAAATAATATAAACGAGCCTTGAGGGGGCTAATGCGAGTTAGGTGCCGCTCGCTTACGAAGCCATAGGATGCTCGTATTAATAATTGAGTTACTGAACCCACAAGGTCGTAAATGGTAAAGACGAGGGGATAATGGGTGACCATCCGCTAGGAGAAATGTACGGTAGATTATAGCTAAATCTGTGCTAGAACATATATTTATGTACCAAGGCGTCTTCATTTCCCAAGATGTGTAGGTGGCTGACCATAATTACTAGCGTGGCATCCTCATTCATTGTATGACCAAACTTTAGCTTTCATGTCCCCACTGGCTGTGGCAAAGATACGAGACGAATGTCCTGGGGCCAATTTGGTAACACTATTCTTGTGCCCTTCCATAACCAGATGAGGCTCGCCAGTCTCCGCATCCCAGAAAACGACAGATTTATCTTTTGAACCGGATACAATCCAACGACCATCTGAAGTCATAAAACTACACAATACAAAGTCCTATAATACGTAATTAGTTCTGAACGTATGAGTTTATAATGGTGATCCTACTCGGTGGAGCTTCAGCTGTTTATTAGGCAGTAGCGAAAGTCCGTTTTCCATTTCAGCAATAAACCAAGTTTTGATCGTCGAATCCACACTAGTACTGATGAGGGTCTGGCCGTCTGGAGAGAATCGAACAGAATAAACACTGTCGTCGTGGGCCTCTAATCGATGTAACAAGCCGCCAGTTTTGCTATTCCGGAGGTGGACTGATTTGTCTATACAGCTGATAGCGATATACCGGGAATCAGGTGAGAATACCACATCCACCATTGTAGTGGGGATATCTCTTTTGATAAAATTCAGTCTTGCTACTGATGTCGTTGTTTCTCGAAGATCCCATGACTTTATGGTGCGGTCGCTGCCAACAGTTGCGGTGGTGTAGCCATCAGCCGCAACAGCGAGGCCATGTATATCCCTATGTCCCTGGAATGCCATGACCCGCCTTCCTGGGCCTTGGAGATGCCAGCGCTGAGTAATTCCAAAATTTAGTCGTCAATGCATCATCTGGCTTGTTTGGAGAATCAACTCACTGTAATGCACCCATCCTCCGATCCTGCTGTGAGATAATCACCACTGCGGCTAAATTGAATCGCCCGAGTCAAATTGTCACCAGAGATGTTGGATCGATTGGTAGTAAAAGTGAATTTCTCCTCTCCGGTTTGGATATCGAATATCCGGACCAATTTATCGCATCCTGTTGCAAGTAGACGATCGTCGGGACTAATGTCAACACAACACACAACACTATGGTGTTCGAATGTGTGCATCAAATTGAGGTCTAAATTGGATTTCAATTTTTTATTCTGCAATAGAGCAAAACCATCCAATCGCAATGGAGAAGATCTCCATTCAGCAATGGCATCCTTGATTGTATTAGCAGGGAAATATGTCAATGATTTGTATTTTACCACGTTCTGTTGAGTTGTAGCACATGGGGCCGAATGGACATTTTCATCGAGCGAAAATGATCCACCGTTGTAGGATATAGCTTGTTGTTCGCTTGGTAATGTGTGGCTGTCGAACACCTTTCTCACTCTGGGGGGAACCAAGATACTTCCTTGTTCGTGGTATGTGCGCTCATGTACTTTCAATTCTCTCTGATGCCGGAAGCCGATTCTGCCTCTAGCACAATTTGGCATGTTGCAGAATAGCCGCTTAATATGCAATTGTTCATGCGACGCCCTGGCGGCCTCTGAGTCGAAGCCAAGGGATGCGTTTATGCACGGTGCGAAGCGACAGCGAAAGGAGAACTGCATGTATTGGTCCCGAAAATGATCTAGTTGGTCCTGGGAGATGTTGTTGCCAATAGAAGAGTCCGACAGAAGCTGGTTTACTCTTTCATTGAATCTCTGAGATAACATGCTGAAGAGCGTCGGGTCTTGCTCTAGAATGAGCTCCTCAAATTCTAAATCGTGAAAGTCAGCTCGCCCGCTTTTTTTTAGAGTATAATGTTTAAGGTGCAACTGTTAAACATTGAATGTTCATGATGGACTTACCTTGGCCATTATTCGCAGACTTTTCTTTGCACTCCGCCCGGAGTGCAAAGATAGAAACTCCTAACGAATAAATTGACAGGTGCGACAGAGTCTCTAAACGATTATCAATCGAGACAATAGCGCTGAAACTAGGTTTCCTAGAGGACTCAGGTTTCAAACTTGAGCACAATCGCTCATGAAGTAGTTGAAGGGAGCCCAGAGTGTGCGCCAACGGAGACTCTTCGGGGAAGCGTGCAATGCCTGCATAGACCAGGACATGGTCCAGCCAAAAGTCAATTGCATACAGCAGAAGTGCGCATGACCCGCTTAAGATTTGTAAGAATTGGCTGATAAGGGGGAATTCAGGGTCGAGGAAACAAAGACTGTCTTTGAGCACGGTCACGCAGGCGAAAGCTATTGTCTCTTCCCATATGGCAGGGCTGAGACGCTGTGTCAGACAGTCTGTACGGAGGTATCTTCAAAGTGTCAGTCAGTCAGCTTACACAAACAATTTCAAATCTGCAATTTCTCAGAAAGACTCACTCTTCAACAGTAAAGTGTATTAATGCAATATTGCCATCTGTAAGTTCTTCCACGAGTGGCTTGCACTTATCGATGACGCTCCCATCTAATAAATTCCATTTATCTAGACCGGGCGTTTCAGGTGTAATGCTCACGCCGTGGAGGAGCTCATGGCGTTTCAGTGGGCGCTTGGTAAACACAAGCCACGCCAAAATCCTCATTACTTTGCTTGTTCTGCCATCTTCACCGGGTGGGCAGAGAGATTCGAGGATTTTAGCATATAGCTGGGGCAGCTCGTTCGGCATTGACGTGATGGCGGCGTGGAGTTCCTTTGCGCTATCCACGTCTGAGAGAGAATCGAGGACCAATTTGGCCCATAAAAACATGCCTTCTAATGTCAGTGATTAAGAGCTAGTGACCAAGGCCAAAGGAGTTCGTACCTTCCGCCTTATTAATCAAGATTTCCACCATTTCTTCGATGATTTTGTCTCCTATTTGAAGAGATTCTTTTTCTTCCGCTAGATCCCTGAGTCGGTACTCTACGAATGATCTGATTGTATTGTTTACAGAATCATTTTCGTTGGACAGCGAAACCGCGCATACATTCTTCTTCTTTTTCCGTATCGCGCGGGCTATTTCAGGGACGTCCCGACTACTGATCAGTAATTTGCAGTTGCTATCCTTAGAGTTAATTGAGAGAAGTTGGACGAGATCTTCGACAATGTACTTTTGTTCTTTCGGGTCGCATTCATCAAGTCCATCGACTATAATACGACATGTTGGAATGCCGTGTAGGAGGCCCTGTTTGTCCCCAGATCCCGTGAGCATAGCGCGCAGGATCTTAAGCGAGGGCTCGTGATACTTCTGGACGAACTCCGTATATGCCATGGTTGTCAGATCGGGACTGTTTTCTATAATCCTGAGCACTAATGTCTTCATAATTTTTGATGACGTATCTTGTTGATGATATCTACAAAAGTAGAAAATAGTGGCGATGTCTTTCTCTTGCAGCAAATCGATCAGACTGGCGCAAATCACGCTCTTGCCTGGAAGCAGTAGTCAGCACAATATAGATGAGAATTGATATCGACAGACTTGCCAGCACCCGGTTTGCCATGAAGCCAGACTATCGGCGACATGGAGTCTACCTTAATCCATGAAGCCATTTTTTCTTGCTTCAATACCCAGTCGCAGCTCCCTTGTAGACAATCTCTCAACAGCTTCTCTCGATTATCATCTTGCGGAGGATTTTCAAGAGCAAGCCAGGCGATAACAGATTGCCGATTTCGTTCATGTCGGTCTTTCTCTTTAGTGGCTACCTGCGATGCCAATCTTTCACGCCATTGTTTCGCCTCGATAATATCGATTGTACTGGCCTCTTGGTCGATGGCCTCACTGTATTTAGCCATGCTGGTGAGTATAGAGTTGAATCGAAAGTCAAAGCCGGCCCATGTGGTATTGAAGAAGAACTTCCATGCTAATTTATGAGTGAGCTACAGATAAAATTCAAAGGCTATCGACATGCCTACATCTTCTTCTAACGAACTTGTAAGCTCGGCGATGGAATTCAAGTACCTCGGCGTAGTAGAGAGCCAGCTTAGTAAGAAGTGTAGGATTGTTTTTGAATGTGTCTCCAAGATTCTTGAGCCTAGGCA